CACGATAGGTACGTACGAATATAATCCTGTCAACGATGGGTGGTCAGGGTATGGGGTGAACGAGCAGCGTCGACGTTCCATGTTCTCCATCCGGACCAAATTCGACGTGCCCGCCGCGAAAATACGAGCTACCGGTTATGAATTACTCCCGACGCCATACCAGCAGCCTCGGCTAATAATCGTCTCTATGCCGAATTTCTCCTGCGTCGTGTAATCGTTCGGTACTCCCCTTGTCGAACCTGGCCCGGCCGATCCACTTCGTATTTCAATATGAGAACTTCATTCGATATTGGTAACGGGCTCAACGACTCCATTTTAATAGGTCGAGTATTGGAATTTTGTTCGTAGCTGGATTATTTTCAGAATACAAGAGCATATACTGTCATATAAGCTTATGTCTGTGGTAGCTTAATGACGTTATCGACACGACACTATTCAAGTCCACAAGTTATTCCACGGTACTTTGCTATTACTTTGCGACACTTGAGTATGTGCGAGGGAAATAGACAACTTAATAAGTAGTCTAGGTTGTACTTTCAACGAACGTCTTATTCTTTTACTTTTGAATAAAACATAGACGAGTTGCATAAAGTTGTGCACATAGTCCTTGACAATGGAGTCAAGGTGTCATCGATTACCAAGAGCCAAAGGGTGAACTGAAACAAGCTATATCCATAGGCAGTCTCGCGCTGGCATTCCGCGTGTCGAAAATCCAAACAGCGGTCTGCACTTCGGCGCGATTTCGTCCGAGTCCTGGGCTAAACCTTGGGATTATGATCTCGGACGATAGCGGCCGATGGAAATGGCGTTTAGGTAGGTGGGCAGATAGCGTAGGCATTATGGTGGTCGGTTTGGGAGGCGTCGCCGAACCGAACGCTGAATCACCCAGCGAGAGTTTTCCTGTCAGCGGCAGTACGGTCGCCACCATCCGACGAACCGCCGTGGAATTGCCTCGTACGGCCACGAAATGAATGCGCGAACGCCCATTAGGGGAATAAATCAGCCGAACGTTATCCACAGCGTCGCATAATCGATCTCGCTAATCCGGGCCTAATCGTTCGTCCGCTAGAAAACTTCCTTCCTAACGATCACCTCGTTAGAACAGTCAGGGTATATCGAGACTACGGCACGGTGTAAATGGATGATCTTGCAAGCGTCTTGTAGGTGATCCGAACCACTACGGCAAGTAAATTCGAACGGGTTCTTGAATCTGACAGTGGGATTAGATGTGGGCAGAAATGGGTAAAATATCTTCTTGGTCCTATGTTGACAATATTATGATAGTCTTGATCTAAATTCGGTCAGATGGTTGCACACTGAATTGCATCTGTAACGCTATCTTCTAAAAATTATTCTCTCTCGTCAGTCACTAAACACCTTGCTATCCGAGAAGTGATTTTTACAAGCTCTTGCAAATTCTTCACCCATGCCTCGTAATGGAGGACCTTGTCGATAAAGAAGAAAGCGTTTGATTGTAATTAAATGAAACGATTCGATAAACGGTGCGCCACAGATGGCAATATAGCATATATCTCGCGGGTAATCCATAGCGTCGATAATTCCCTAAATCGTCGATAATCTTTTAAGTGGTACCCGCAAATAGCCGGTATATTAATAGTCGACCACCGCGGCCGAACATTAGCGGGCGCATTAAATGGATATCCAGCTTTAATTCGTGAAATCGATCCTCCTTTTCCCGTCCCCACCATCCGGCTTTGCGTCCACGTCGTGTGGCAGGGATAAATTCGAGGGTGCGGCGAGTCGCGAAAATGTTTGGTTAGCATTCGGCTTATTGGCCAGCGAATGTTCGTGCTCTGTTAGGCATGTATGGATGGCCCCCAGGTTATAATAAAGCTAATTCTGCGGTGCTCTTGAGGCAGCTCGTGCCGCAACATGTTTTGCCTCTCGTCCCATCCCACCTATCCTTTCTCCCTTTCTGACTCCTTTTCGCCGTTTCACCGATATCCAACCCTCCCTCCGACTCTTCATCTTCTGACTCGTTGTTACGCCGTGTCTCTCTTCTTCCGCGTGCTGGAACAACCGAATATATTTATACGCCCCTTTAGAGGGTTAGCACGCGTCCGTTTATTAAAACGTTTCGACCCTGAGAGCGACCGTACTTTTCGATGGCTCGCTTCTCATTGTCCATCTAGGAAAGAAACACTCGCCAGTCAGCACGTGTACGATTTTCGAGTGGCTGTGCCGTTAATGCGATCACGTTCGCGAAATTAATTCGATTAGTAGATGTACTTGCGAGCGAGTTTCCCATCGTACAATTTCAGACGCACTACTTACCCTACGCTTCGCATGGAAATTCGTCGAAAAATGAAATCGTTTCTCGTATTCGTTCGCGCGACACTTGTATCGTCGAATGAAAGTCCAGCAGAGCGGTGGTTAAGTTATTCCAGTGCAGCGGTCGCATAATCGTAACGCTTATACGAATAAATAGCGAGTAAAAAATTAGTCTCTAGATAATATCTGAGAGGCGTTTCCGCTCAGCGTGAAGTCATGATTGTCGACGAAATTCATGGAACGAGGCTCTATACGGCTCTCTGACAAGGCGGCGTGTTACGATCGATGAAACGAGCACTCCAAGACTCCCAGTGAGGGTTGTGATCGACGCCGTAGCATTAATTAATTCCTGGTGATCTCAATTAAAATATTAATTACGAAGAAACAATGAACCTGCTGACGGGTCGAGGCGTCGATCGCGATGGACCTATCTTCTCGGTTTCTCTTTTCTTTCCCGTACTGCCTCGCCGAATGAATCGTAGCGATGCTATTACGATTACGGTCCTCCTATAAGCCTATCTGATAAGCAACGCATTTATACGGTCGAGGCTGTCGCGGCATCAACGTCGCTGACTTGTCCGTTCGTCTGTTTGGGTCGTTGCGATCAAAACCAGAACGAGCTGGTCATTTGCATATTTCTCGTGTCTCTTTCGTGGCCAATCTCATCGAATGTCTGATCGTTTAAAAAATAACAAAACCTACCGGTGACAAGGATCTTAATGTTCCGCTCGAAAGCAACGTGTCATTGACGGGTGTTATAGAAATGCAAGAAACGGAATGTTACGATGTTTATACATACTTTATGAGGAGTTATCGTCCATTGCAACTATTATCGAACGTAGTTATCGCTGTTTATAGTCCGCGAAGGAGTTTTAATGTTGCTAAACTTCGAACAGCCATGGCCTAGTTGCTTATCAAGGGGGCCTCGAGGAAGTTCAGTCTTTGATTTTTGGGATTTGAAAATTTGCATACGTAAGAATGTGGCGTTTGGAGTAATTTGAGTGTAAAGTCTAGGTACATGATTCTGCGTATCCTTATTCGTAGAATGATTAATTCTACCGAGAGGTTCAAAGTCTCGAAGAGAAGAACGAAGACAACCGAATCCATTTTGCGGCCCATCCGCGATCGGTTATTGTCGAAGCGGCCAAGCAATAACAAGCGCTTATTGAAAATACGATTGTCGAATCACTGATGTAGGATAACGTTCGGGACACGTACATAATAAAGACTATTCCGGTCGTGTGTATCGATGCATTTGCGAGGCACAACTCCGTAGAGAGTGGTCGTATAGCCCAGGAAAGCTGGGAACGTAGCTGGGCTGCACCACCTGACGCGACGGGGGGTCAGTGGTTCTCATTTGGCGCGTTCGAGGAGAAAATTGATAGGGGAACGCTCGGAGAAAAATGTCGCGGTGACACGCGAATCAGATCGACTTTGACCATCGAGCAATTTGCATTGTACGATATGGTTGACGAAGGAACGTAGCCGGGGATTTAAGCGAAATTAAATTAAGCGAGGAACGCGAGCTATGCGAGCACGGTTTAAGCCGGGCCCCATTGATCGGCCTCTCGAATCACGATTTCACTTAAGGACACGCGAGCTGGTGTCGATCGATAGAGATATATCGGGGCCCGGGCTAATGATGACTCGACCGAATTCGAGAGCTCGTCCTCTTGCCTCTTCTACCCTCGTTGAAAGTAATTTACGAGGAGTCACGATTGATTCGGATACGAGTGTCGATGTGAGCACCTCGAACGAACGATGCAGCCGTGACGAGTGAAAATACAAACAGTTTAACAGGGATGAGTAGTCGTTTAGCGTTCTTGGGATCAGCCGCCCCTCGCTGTCTCTCTTCTCTGTTCCTTCTCTTTCTTTGCCTCTTCCTTGGGTTGCCACGCGAATCTAGATATAGCAATTCGTTACAAAAGATTTAGCAATTAAATGAGTCGATTGCGTTCTTAAACGTTCGGACGATACCCATTCTGTAATGATGCGTGCAACATTGGAAGCTTTCCTCGTACGGTAGAGTAACCCTCGAATTAATTTTTCGATTACAATATCATAATTATGTCTGTGATCTGCACGTTCGATCTCCTATGTATTCTCATCTCATAAGGATGTACTAAGTATGCATAAATAATTGTGAATCATCGAAGTAAAGAGTGGTAGTAAAAAATGCGCGTAAGAGCTGTCTCGTTGAAGGATGAAGCATATATGCGTTGACGTTGCAAATGGGTTAAACGGAACCATTAGCGCGATTTCACATCGGTACGAGTCGATGGAGACTGAAGGTAACAGCGCAGAGTAGACAAAGTTAGCCACAGGCCGATGAAACACTCGGTGTCCGAGCGGCGGTGGTCGACAGGGGTTGCGTAAGTTGGTCCAACCTCCTGCGGTCTTGCGTCAGAGAATCAATTATTGGATCCGTATATCAATCTGATGAGCGGGCCGCGTTCGTGGCGCGCGGCACCCCGCTGCTTTTACGCATTTTCTTCTCCCTGTTCACCCCCCTGTGGGGCGTTGGTAACCGCGGAGAGTGCACTTCTCCTCTCCGTATGGTTCAGCACCATATAGAGCGGTCGTACGAACGACCGGTTCTCCACGTTCGAGGCTTGCACGCCGATCCGTGGGTCCCGTCGTTCGTGACGTAGCCGGTAATGTTGATTTTTCGAAGTCGACTGACTCGTACTCTTTTCTTATCTCCACAGGGCGCCGACGAAGATGACAGCGCTTCCGTTGCCTCGGTAAGTTCATCATCGTCATCGTCTCTTCCGTGGATCGTGATTATCGCGCTCCCTTCGAACGGATAATTCTTTCGTCATCGGGATCGCGCGTTGCCCACGATAAATGCGCGCGATCTGGTACCGAGATCTTAATTAAAATTTCCCCTTCTAATCGAACCACGAATCTCTGTTCTACCTCCGTTCCGTTTCGTCTCGTTTCGCGTTATCGTCCGGTGGCTGAATATCGCTGGTAACCCCTGTTAATCAAGCCAATTATTGCATCGGAAAGCAGCAACTGGACGGGAAGTCACGGGAGTGGTTGGTCAGAGCGGCGCAAGGGGATTATCAGGCATTGGCGAAATTGGCTGCGGAGGAACCTCGACTCGCCCGGCTCAAGGTAAGATATATCCTTTATCCGCTTTTGTTTCCTCGCGAATAGTATTTTATTTATTTTCAACCGACTGCTTGAAAGCACCTAACTACGTGCTTCAAAATCCAGCAACAAAAATCGGCTTTCTTATATTATCTTTTAGTGTATTCTTTTCAGTAGATAGACAATTTTAAACGAATAATGTTTGAATTAATTTTTCATCACTGATTAGAAGTCTTTCAAGTCAATTCATTGCAAGGTTATTTTTTCTTAAAAATTAACATCGTCAAAGGAACTTCTTGGAGCATGCATTCTAATTTGTGAAAAAATTAACGAATTGATTTGATTTCTTTTCGGATACGCGATCCGTCAAGTTCTTGTCAGACATTCTTTTCACGAGGTACCTTACGTGTCTCGATCGCGTGCATCCGAAAGAAGACGCGTTAAAAAATGATAGATTCGCGAGCAGTTTGATCGTGTGGCCGTATGAAGGCACAGGTTTACGCGCAATGGATCTCATTGAGTTACGAGCACACCGCCTCGGGTGATAATGACAAAGGTGGCGGGCCAGAGGTTCGGAAATATAATTACGGTGTGGCTTACCGTAGGCCTGGGATCAGGCCGTTATTACACGCACGGCAGAACTTAACACCTGCGGCGTTGTAAATTCGCCGTTTTCACGCGCCACCATTGACAGGTCAATAAATCTAAGAGCCCCCGTGGCAATCAGGCAGCCGGTGTATACCAAACCGCCAATATGTGGAGCGGATCACTAGTGTCCGATAGTAACGAGTTAAGGATTATTCACACTATTGATATACCTTATACATATAATCCAGGAGATCGTCGGAGATTGGGGAAGGTCGTTGCAGATCCGCTTAGTCTTTTCTTCTGAAAGAAACTCTTAGTATTCCCAATTTTTTCAGATTATTTTTGCTTAACGAAAGATTAGAGACAAATAAATAAAAATGTCTTTGATAACTATCATGAATCTTGAAGATCTTGTCTGCAATAAAAATTGATGGACCAATAGATTTTCGAAAAGGAAGTTTCGCAAAGGGTAGATACATTATTTCCGGGAAAGAAGCGTTCGAATTATCATATGTTCATGAAAACTGTTCGCAACATGATCGTTCCCGTTAACACGGCTCGTTTTCTGGTCGAATAGTTTGAACTGGCCTTTAACGGCCGTTCGTGGAACGTAGGAGAGGAAGGAACAGGGGATGAAGCGGCTGTAAAGTGGGGATGTAGCAGGATGGCTGGAGGTGGTTTGCGAAAGGGGATGGAGGTGGCTCGACCGCACAGGGGCTGCGTGCTGAATTCATTCCGCTGGACAAGGTTGCCCCACACCCCACGCCGGCCCACGTCTGCCTCATCCCTTGGGATAAATTGGCCGAACCCGCGTGTTTGCGGATAACATCGCCGCGATATACGCTCGCCTATGGCCGCCGTACGAACGTAACCGTACAACGACGGCCCCTTTTTGCGACTGGTCTCGCGCTCCTGGAAATTGGCAACGAGCTGCGTTCCGTTTCGTTCCGTGGTCTTTTTCGCGTTCGCTCCATTCAGCGTCCTACGCAAGCCGTCTATCACGCGTAATGTTTTTGCGTGCTTCGCGGAAAAACGCGGAAAAATGTTTTAGCTAAAAATTCTGCCCTTGTTCGGACATTTGTTCGTTCTACAATTCGTATTTTTTGGTTCTGTCGAAGAACTAGAGTAGGATATCCTCATCGTGGGCTTTTGGTACATCGTGCATCAAATCTTAAAAATTCTGAGAGGTCTGAAAATCGGATTAAGTTATGATCTAGCAATGATTGGCTCAGTGTGAGGGGTAAACGTTTCTGAACATTTGCTCTTCGTGTTCCAGTTCCAAGTATTTGTCGAATGAGAAATTTGGTGTAACCAGTGTTCAGGTGTGGTACACTGTTTGCATTCGACGCATAGGCACCCGTATATATATCTATATATTAATCCATCGATGAATATGCAACGGTCAGGTCGCTAGAATGCGAGGGCGATGGGATGCGGGAGACAAAGTGAAGCAAACGACAGGAAGGGTGTCGTTGTAGGAGGGCAAGGGACGCTAGGCATTCCAATTACTCCCCCGTTAATTAAATCAACACGGAAGCTAATCAACGTAACTCCCACTCGTCGTTCCTCTCCCGGTTGCCCGAATTTTTCTGCCGAACAAATAAATCAGACGATTGGCCGATAACCGAACGAACGGAAAAATCGTGTCTCACGGTTCGCCGCTACGAAGATGAACGCGGTGAATAATTGATAAAGAGACGATTGAACATTCGACACGAGTAAACGAATGACCCTTTTTTTCGTTTGCATCGATTAGCCATCGATACTGACCGACTCGTTCTCCGCGCTTTTGTGCGATCGTCGACAATCACGGCGCGTAGCTTTTCTTTTCTCGCGGATGTTTTACGAGCCCGTATTAAAAAGCCGTTCGCACACGTGGTCTACGTGATCGGTGCTCGAACCTCGTGGACAGCTATTGTATTCGCTGGGTCAGGTGTACACGCTCGTCGGGGTACCGTGTGCCCATTATACTTTATTAACCGACGCGTCTGGCATCGCGATTGATTCGCCTGTTCGATTTGTGCGTGCGTCCCGTTGCGATGCAAGACGGTAAACAAGTCTCTGACGCATCGCTTCGCAATCCTCGTAGTTGTTCGCACGAAATTGTTAGAATTCTTCGCGAGGCGGTCTACGAGTGGTCCGACGAATTTGATGGTTCTACATATCACCTTGAACCTCTACTATCGTTTCATTTGTTCGTCGAGAACTAGTGTGATCCAATCTCCTCGACCGACGAGAGCTTCTTGTCATTAAAATAAACAGCCATTGCAGGACTTATCGACGTGGAGTAATTGCAATTCAGAAAGACATTCATAATAGGAATACCAGCAACGAAATATTCCCGAAGCTATTAACAACGCGCAAAACAATTTTATTCTATATTCTCGATTTATCCTTCCACGTGTAATCTCGCTCCTTCCGCTTGTATCATCTGTTACACGACACCCTTTATATTGGCCGTTGAACAAGGCTTCAGCATCCGTTCGTGTATTTATCCGCTGGTATTGGTCGGTTTAATAACGCCAGGCAATCAGAAGGTGTTCCCTCCTACCTACTACTTCTGCATTCGCTGCCACCTCCTTCCCTATCTCGCCGATAAATAATAACCATTTGTATCGGATTCTAATTACTCGCTCTAAGCAAACAAATAAACGGCAGGTCGATGAGAAGAGCCGGACCGTGAGAGGGGCAGTTTTAATGTTATGGTGGCTGCAGGCTGATTTAAGGAGTGTGGGACCGCCCACCTCGAAGATGCATCTTCGGCTCGGCCATCGGTCCACCTGTTATGAGTGTTTCAACGCCACTGTGCGTTCTTCTTTTTTCTGATTCGCCTCTCGATACCTGTTGCCGATACAGAGCCGAGAAAAACATCGAAAATACCGTGGCGTAATTAAATTGCCACGAATAGCGATCCTCCGGTACGATCATTCGATGCGTACCACCCCGTTCAAACGATGCAGGGAACTGAGAGGACTGACTGTATACTCGTAAAGTATCGTGAGTCGAACAAAGTTATTGCAGTATTCCTAAATTTGAATTCTCAACTTTCCACATATCTAAATTAGCGTGCAGCCTATACTTGAAAATATGGATCTTAGCTAGCTCATTAGACTTTTGCGTACTACTAAAACTCCCTGCTGGGATTCTTTCTGAATTGCATTTGAATGATTTTCCCGAGCGAGATCGAATCTTCGCTAAAAAGGTCACGAGGAGAAATGCCGACGGTAGTTCGTTACCGATGGGCTATTAGCGGGCGTAACGCACGTCGTGGCAGCGTCGCAGGACTAAGTAAACCCTGGCTAACAAGGAGGCGTATCCTCTGGCCACGAATGATCTACCGATCCGTAGTTGGCATTATTTCGTTGGAAGACTCTCGTTCGGTTAGCTAGCCTTTCTTTTTTTCTTTCTTACCCTCGACCCTTGTTCTCGCTTCGACTCGCGCGTACGAACGCGCACGCATAACCGAGAGCTACCTACCTATATAGACAGACGAGATATACCTGCACCTCCTACCTACGCCCCCGAATATTAACACTCTGATTTATGCTCGTAATTATCTCTAGTTATTTTCTGAGAGGAAGGACCGGTGTATTCGCGAGAGGTTGTCTCTCGTAGCTGCCGGTGCTGCTGCCGCTGATACACAACAAATTAACTGTTTCTTCTTCCGCCTCCTCTCCTTATCCTGTTCGTTTCACGGTGTTTCTTTCTGTTTCGAGCCTAACCTTTCCTCGCCTATTTATAGGTGTCTCGTTTCCCTGCGTAATTGCCTTCTTATTATATTGGACGATGCCCCCGATGCAGAAGACGGTAGCAACGGGAACGTTAGACCGCGTTCGGTTCGGCTCGAATTCAGCTCGCGGGTGATCATTTATCCTCACCAGAGAGACTCGCCAAACGACCTGTCGCCCCTTTGTGCCTCCTGCACGCTTTGAAGACACTGAGAAATATATTTCCAGCTCTGCCCGCGATTATTACGTACGCCTCGTCTGTCGGTAATTAGCACTGCCTCGTTTCACGGTCCCATGAATACTGGCCTTTCAACGTTCTATCCTCGGGATAACCGATTTGCCTGCCCGTTTCAAGGTTTCTTCTTGTGACTCCGTTTCCATCGTGTTACGGAGACACCGAGGAAGTTAGGAGCTGATAGTGGATCAGCAAGGTTCACATTTTATGGAGCAGGCTGGGTGTCGCAGATCGGATGCGCCAAGCTGGCGTCATCTTCCTTCGGCATCTTCTCTCGTGCTCGTCGTTCCTTCTTCGAAATCCTCGACTTTCGCTTCTCCTCGTTTCACTGTCCTTCTAGGATTTCATTTTTCTTTCGCTATTTGTCACTTGTCTATACCCTTACATCCCTGAATTTCTATATTGCCGAATTCCTGTATCCCCAAATCCGTACGCGTTCGAATTCCTGTATCGCCAGATCCTCGTTTCGGATA